ATGTCGACTCTGTGAACAGGCTCTGTCGTGAGGTTTCGGGATTTGCGGTTTCTGAGGTTACCTCCGGGAGGGAGCGTGTCACCGTGAAAAGTCGGCACATTCCAAAATCTGCACCTGTATCCCCTGTGAGTAAGGCGGCTAAGATTTAACAAAGATTACATGCATAATTAACCCAAACAGAAGGCAACAAAATACTACATTTATATTTTTATCTTGTCCATGTGAAGAAATCAAAGGTATTTAATTGCATGAAGATAAAAAATTGATCCCGAATTTGAGGCACTTGTTCATCCCCAGCTGCCTCCCCCCCCGCCCCCGCATCCTTCCCTCTCTGCTGAGGCGGGTACCCATCACAGTTCGACCAAAATGAAATACCTCCCCCTACAATATATTAACTAGAGGAACGCCCAAAATTTCACAAAGTGGTGGTCTTTCAGTCAGGAACGGCTATTGGGCAACTTTGTTAAAAGGAACCTTTTTCAGAAAGGGCCTTTAAGGTCAACATATGTGCCATTAAATATCCGAGAAACGTCACTTAAAATGAATAGAAAGACAAAAAATCCAAGCCGAGAATATCAGCATGTTAATATCTGCTGAAAGTAAAAAGTTACTTTTGATTAATTTCGGTGTCTGGCTCCATCCGCCTGGGATGTATACAAATCAGATTAAGAGACACAGTCATCATCATAGTCAGTCATTACTGCAGTTCACTCCCAGTTTACAGCATTTTTCTTCCTCCCCCCCCCCACTCCTCTCCCCTCGGTGGTCATACTGTGAGCGGCTGCAATTTCCTGTCGCGTTCGGCATGGTAAATCAATGTCTCCCTGAGGGGAGCCCTTCGCCGTTCGGCCCATCTCTCCCCTAACCCCCCCCCCCCCCCACGCCCATGCCGCGGGGGAAGCTGGGGAGAAGGGTGCCCATTTTCGGCCCAAGGGGAGGGCCGATGGCACCGGTGAACACCAAGAGAGGAAACAGGGGTGCTCTGCCCGTTCCACAGCGCCCCCTCATGGCCCAGCCCCAGTATTTTGCCCAAACTAATCCCCCACAATGCTCGGTAACTCCAGCCTCATCCACAGCCTTCACCGATTAGAGCATACATAAATCAAAGCACATTACGCATTTCGCTCGATTCGCAGACACTTTCATTTAAGGCTAGACGGGCCACGTTACGGCCGTGCGGATTATCCGCTAACACAGCTGCACTGTTTTACACGCAGCTCGCAGATAATTACTCTCCCCAAAGTAACATGAGTCGCGGACTCTTAAGTCCATCAGTTTTCTCAGCCGACGCACCACCTGGCGCTGGCCCCTTGTGGCGCTGCCAATGGGGCTTCCGGGGAAAAATCCAGGCACGAGACAAACGAGGAAAGACAAACCATCCACAAAGCACCTGATGTGTATATTTAGCGTGTGCATTTTTGATGATATTTAATCGGTCCATTTCGAACATGTTTCTCTATCATGGTGTGTTGTGACATTGTCGACTGGAATTTGAACCCAACGGCACCCCCCCCGAATCCACCCTGCATTTCCCTGCCATGCTTAGGACGGCAACATTGCCAGCATCACCGCACAGAGACACCCAGGAAAGGCAAGTTGGTTTGGTTCTCTTGAGCAGGGAGGTGCCAGCTGTGGGGGAGACCGTGGGCGATGCCCAAAAAAACCCCACCAATTACTGATTTAATAGAATCATCTCAGGATACCCCCAACCCCCCCGCCCCCCCCCCCACAACTTTTACCAGCACCAATGTCCGCACACCAGCCTGATGTGAACCTGCAGACAGATCCTTGTACTGCGATTCACAGCAGGCGGCAGATGGGCGACGGAACACAGAGGTGAAGGTGTGACCAGTTTGTGTGGGGGGGGGGGGGGGGGGGGGGGGGGGGGGGGGGATGTTGGGGGTGAGCGAAACTGGAAAAGTGGGAGAGAATATCACAAGTAAAAAAGTGGAGACGGACACAATGATGGACAGGCTCATCGGTCATTTCAGCTGACTGACATGATACTCTCCAGATTCTGACACGCTGGACACATTTGGGGCGGGTGATAAAATTTCAAAGTCTGTTATGGCCCAACTATTGACGAAGCCGTTCGGGTAGAAAAACAAAACCATTAAAAGCATATAGAAATCGCAGTGGTGTTAAATTAGCAGAGGGACCTGATAGCTTGTTCAGCTCGGACAATGCTTGTTTACTGTCAGCCCAGTTGGGGGGCGACTTGAGATATTACTGTTTTTGGTTTTCTGCTTGTTTTTTGATGAGAAAAAAAAAAATCAGTGAGAGGAGTGCCTTTCTAACTGGACTTGGCCGAAGCAGCGGTGCTTTCAGCGTGCCGGCTCCCAGGCCGGGCCACGGCACCGCAGACGACAGCGACCCGACCCGACCCGGCGCGGCACACGCAGGTTTGCTGCGAAGCCCCCGGCAAACCAGAGCGAGGCCTTAAATAACCTTAAAAACAAATCAATAGAAGCCAATCATCACATAATTAGCAGAGCGGACGGAGAGACGGAGGGAGCACAGCGCGTCTGTGCTGCATATCCTGAGGAGGCCGACTTACTCTGCCTCCGTCAAAAGCAATTACTGACCAGCTACATGAAAGGGGATTTAATGCAAGACAGCAAGGGGGTTCTCATTATTCCTCTATGTTTATTTCCACCCCTCCCTTATAAAACAAAGTGACTGTAAGAGGGTTTGCTCCGGTTCCACCTATCTGCATGGAACAGTACAATGTATGTTGGCATGGCACTGCCAATACCAAACGGCTGTAATTAAAAGCAAACATTCAGGAAAGTAAAGGGGGGAAGGAAAGAACGCCGGAAACCTCCGAAGATCATTTATAAAAATAATTAATGCGACTGAGGGAGGGGCACCGAAAAAAACAGATGGAAAAACTCATCTCTGTTATTCAATTTCTGTAAATGCACTGAGGAAACGCAGCGATCATTTTGCGGGGAAAAGAGCACGCAGCGCCGGGCGCATTTAGCGGATCCCGGGGGCGGCCTTATGGTTCGCCGAGCGGCGGCAGAACCCCGCTTCTCGCAGGGAAGATCGCGTATCACCGGTTAATCACGTCTCAGACATCCGGGAGGGCGGGGGGGTATGCGACCGGACATTCCACTTTTAAAACTTCCAGGCTTGTCGCCGTGAGGTCCTGCCTGTCCATCAAGAACGGAAACAAACCCGCGGGGGGCGTCCCTTTGCTCATTTCGGTTGTGCTGAAGTGGACCGAAACTCTGCCAAAGGCCGCGGTCTGCAATATAAATAGTCGGAAAAGCACGTTTTTACCGAACCGCTAAGCTCGTCACCGCCGGTAATAGACGGGGAAGGCGGCGGACGTGACGTCGTGCTCACTGACATCACAGCGGAGCACCGGCTGCGAACGCGGCTAATGCTGCCCCTGGTCAGTATCCTGCTGCTACTGCCCCCTCGCAAAACTACTTCAGCTTACTTTCCCTTATTTCCACATACAATAAATAGGACAAGAATAAAAAAAAAGCAAACTGTTTGGTTTGCACTGAATAATAAGGGGAGGAAACTGCACGAGAGTCTGCAAAACTGTCACAAAAATCTGAGAATGCATTTGAAACTGTGTCTATATATAACATAAAGGAAACGCACGCAGAGCAGATGAGAAACTGGGCATGTAAAATAAAGTTACATGTTAGAGCTGGGGGGGGGGCATTTTACATTCATAATATTTATGATACCCAGAAGTAATTATACTGATTGCTTAAAATACATGGCTAAGAGAGACTGAATATGGTGCACACACAGGATTGGGGGTGTATCTGTCCATGGGCATGCTGGGAAATGAGGTACACGGTGATTATTTCGAGTGTACTGGCTGGCACTCCTAGCCAGGCTCAGTTGCAGCAGTATGTACGAAAGCTTATCCCAGGGATCGGCGCGAGGCGAACACAGAGCCCCGGTTTCACGCAAAGCCAAATGGGCACAGATGACAGCAGCGAGGACACCGTGGGTCACGTCGCCAGCAGAAAGATAAAGGGGGCCGCAGCGAAAGCCCCTGCTTCCGGAGGGATTCGGGCTGGCCGACGCCTCCGGGTACAACACGGCCAGCTACCCGACCAAGGTGCCAAACCCTCCTCCCAAAGCAGATCTGACAGCAGAAGTCATACCATATATCTGAAGGGTCAATATTTCCCTCAAACTCCCTGGGAGCACTTAGGGCCCCTCAGACTGTAAGTGACACTACTATATATAACAACATCTTAGGCTTCAGACTTGGGGCAATTTCGCCTGTCACTCAGAGTGCTGTCTGCTGACAGGGGCCTGAATATAGTTCAGAGCCGCCCACCGCTTACGGGGGCCCCCTCGCTGAGGTGCGCCGCGGCCACGGTGACAAAACCAGCATAATCACAGGGTGTCGCCACCAATTAGCTCTCGGGGAGCAAAGGGGCCTGCGTCTGAGGATGACGTTTGGTTTCTATCTTTCTGGACGTGTCGGTAATTGCAAACATATTTGTCCTATTTAATCTGAGTCAGCTTGGGTTACCGATAAAGCAAGAAGCGAGAGGGTCGTGTTTGTTTAACGGACTCCTGCTGTGGGTAGCTGCTTAGCCGAAATAAAAATACTGCGTTTCAGGCCCTTCAGGAGTTGTAGCTTCCACCCTGTATGAAACGAGGGGGTCACGATTCTGCTGGCAGCAGTGCGGCCGGGGTCCGTGCCCCTGCCCGGTGGCCATTGCTGGTGACACCTGCCGCGGCGGATTAGGCGGAGACGGCGCTAAGCAGCCATGCAGGCCCCACCCACCCCCGACCCCCACCTCGGGGACTAACAAGCATGGACAGTGACAGCGGCCCGGTGCCGGAGACCCTACAGCTGCAAGCTGCAAGGAAAAGTGAAATGAAGGGAAGTCAGCCTCACCACGAGGGTTCTTACACCCAAAGTGAAGCACCACTAAAGGGGGCAGGTTAACCAAGTCAGAGCCAAGCTGCCAGCCGGCAGTAAAGGCCGCGTCTCCCACCCTGCCTCTCCTTACCGTAGTCAGTGATCTTGCAGGATACCAGGTACAGCTCCTTCAGGCTCCTGCCTTCCTTGGCAATTATCTCCACACATCTGCAAGAGGGAGCAGAAAGAAAGCAATGAAGTGAGGGACTTGCTGACCCGAGCGGGCCCTCGGGGGCGGGTCGGGACCGGCAGCAGCACAAACACATGGCGGGACATCTCAGCCATTCCGCCTCGGCATCCGGGACCCACTCACTATTAAATAATTCAATTTAATCTCCATTGATTAAAACTAAGCGGCTTCACACGCAAGGGGTCGTAATGGGACTTGTAATACCAACACTTCAAAGATATCCACAGGGTAGCGGTCTTCAGAGGAGCGGAAATGTAAAACGATTCGCTCAGAAATGGCATTAATGAATAATATGTTGCTGTAATAGATTCCATGTTTCTGTTTAACCTATATAACCCGTGTTAACTAACAATTTAGATTTATTTAGATCTTGTGTAACAGATTGCTGCTAAGGTTAGCTCCTCAGCTCAAACAAAAATACAATATTGGGGGGGAAAAGCAGTATTTCACTTGCTGTGAGACCCTCCTTGTGGTGACTATGCTCCAGCGTTCATTTGACTGTCTGTACTGTACATAAGCATCCAACACAACGCGACGCTGCAAAGCAATACAGAAAACAAAGGCTTCATTTTGCAGACCCAGCTAGAATTTCACCCTGCTATTGAGGAATCTAAAGTTACTCAAAATGGAGTCCCTGTCTCAAAGCTCCGCAGTCCTTGTCTACGTCACAGCACATTTTAAACTCTTCGAAATGAGGGCACATTTTATCCATTTGTTTGGCCTTGGAAGAACCCATTAAATAAGCATTGTCTTCCAAGCCACCACAGACCTGCTGTCTTGGCAAACTTCAAGCATTCTAATGTTCCAGGAGGCTAAAACAGCCACAGTAATTGCAATCCCATCTTTCACATTGTATTTTCTTCCCTGGAGTCCATTTGCTGGGTGACGTTACAGCAGGCCACTGCCGTCGTCGTCGAATGGGCAAAGCGGAGCCTGATTGGATTAATCGACCCACACACACACACACACACACCTCATCCTGGGTATCCTGGGATGCCGACGCCTGAGCACGCACATCCGCCACAATTGCTAAGGCGGGCGGCTCCTCGGAGAGCTTGTTAAGGAGCTCCCAGCACTCTGAGCCAATTAGGAGTGACAGGGACAGGAAGGGCCCTCCCACTCTTTGGGGCCCGCTGAAATCAGAGCAGAGGATCTGAGGTGAGTGCCAGCAAGCATCGAACGACATCCCCAAAGACCAAGTCGGCGCTCCCTGTAACTCAGCGAAGCTCTGCTGGTGGGCACTGGCGGCGATCCGTTACAGCGGCGCGGGCGTGAAGCAGCACGGCGTGAAAAATGCAGGCATGCCAAGGATAAATTAGGCGAGGGGGCATGCTTCAACACGCTCCCCTGCTCCACACCAGTTAATGCTCTAGGAGTTTTGTGGATGTGAGAGCTGCCCGTGTGTGTGTGTGTGTGTGTGTGTCTGTGCCCAAGTATCTATTCTGGAAATGACACCAACCCAATGGGAAACTATTCAGTCTCCCAGCAGGGTGAAGGAAAATGACACTCCTGTCACTGCGATCAAACGAGGACAGCGAAGACAGAATAGTTAGTGCTGCTGATAGCGGCGGTGATGCTAATGCTGATGAGGATGATGATGGATGAAGAGGAGAAAACTGACTAAAAACCAGAAGGAAACACAGCTTTCCACTGAAATTATAAAACTGAAATATTCAGCTGGTGCATTTAATAATTTACTATTTCTTCCTTATTTACATAAGAGTGGTACTCCACATTGTTGGGATTCTACTTAATTTTAATGCGGGGAAATAAAATCATTTTTAAAATTAGCCATCAAATGCTTTTTCCCCAAATATAACTTCCTAAATTCACAATTTATACCATTATACCACCAGATGTACTGAGTTTTAAAAAATTTTGCACATAGAAAATAATATAATAAATTACTAATGTAATAACGTTCACCAACCAACAGTATGGATTGAGGTTAATTATTTGGTAGAGGGCAGACAACTACAAAATGCAAATGTTAAACATGTTTCTCTTTGTCCCCTTTCCCATATTTCTGGATGTTAATGCTATTATTTTGGCATTGTTTTTCTCTGCCACCTTCGCTAATGGCACTCACTGACAAATACTGTTTTTGAGCTGGGCTGTCATGACTGGAGGCTTCCATATCCAATGAGGGAATATTAAAACTGTTTCCATGACAACTAAAGAAGTTCACAGTTGAGCGATTAGTGTGAACGAAATGGCAGACCGAGCCAATTAACACGGGAGGGACTCAGGACGGCAGTCCGTGTTGAGACTGGGCCGTAACAGCACCGGCAACACATGACAACGTCCAGAAGTCTGGTCAAATCCACAGCATTCAATCCAACAAGCATGAAGAGATGCTGTAAAGAACCATCGTGTTAAATTAAACGGGAGAAAATTTTGCTACCCAAAAAGTTTTCCCGACCCCACTCCCCCCCGCATCAGCTTCTGATCCAGGCTCTGGTCCTCATTCGTCTAGACGCCGCCGCTGCTCATCTGCCTCGTCGCATTTGTTGCAGGACTGATTCAAAACACAGCTGCCTGTCTACTCTTTAACTTGCACCGGAAGAAGCACGTCTGTCTCTCCTGATGGTTCGCTGTTGGTTCCGGCACAGCCGGCGGCTCAGGAAGTTACCTGCAGGACATCGCCAACCCTCACACACCTGCCGGATCTCTACGGTGAGCAAGCACGCGCTCTAAAAGTCCCTCCCGTCCTGAGCTGGCTCCCCCTGTACCGCTACTGGCCTTCCTGCCACTGCTGGAACAAGTGCCAGACATCTGCAGATTCACTCACCCTCTTGACAGAAGCTGAACCACCCCCCCCCCCAGCCTGTGCCCTCAGCCCACAAAATCCACACTTAGCACTTGGCTCCAGAAGCACTTCTCACTTAGTGTTAACTAATAACACTAGCAGCAGCTGCATCTATGGCAGTTTCCTCTAATAATAATGATAACTGAAAGTAATGAAATACGATTCTATGCACTGTTTTTTTTTCTTTCTAAATATATCACAATGAAAACGATTTTGGCCCAAGACCAGTTGATATTTTGATACAGGTCATCAGTGCCGTGATCAGAGCTTTACGGGAATCAAAAATGTACCAATATATTCAGCAATAAAACAGTTTCTCAAAGAGGACTCACAACAGAATCCACATTTTTCAGAATGGTCAGCTGTCAGGGCCTTTTACCGCAAAGCTACCACAACTGTTCCATTTTTAAAGGAGGGAATTCTTTTTTAGTATTTTTTGCCGTGCAGAATTTCAGATTTTACATCATTACTCAATAATTTAGAAAGAAAGAAAGACCTGTATAACAGATTTTCCCCCCAAACCAACAACATCATGGTGTCCCACCCCGCCCCCCACCATCTTGCACTGTCACCTGGGAAACATTGTGACAGCACCCCCAATTGGCAGGGCCACGCTCCCCGCTGTTCAGTCAGGAAGATACGGCCAAAGGGGTTGTTACCACGCCGGATTGCCGTCACTTACAGCTAAGAAAACTCTGCCGGATTGCCCTCTGGGTTCTCCGCAGACACCCACCCCAGCTTCCCACTGGAAGTACAGTGTTAACAGACATAACGCTCAGAATGGAGATCTTGGAGATCTCCCATAGGGGTCAAGAAGCATGGCGTGTGTTCCGGCCTTTAACAGCGAGCTTGACGCTCAGCATGTCAGCAGTGATTTACCCCCAGGCTTTCAGACGAATTAAACATGGAGCTTCCTGTGTTTAACCACAATTACCCCCCCTGACAGTTAATTATGCTTCACATTTGCTGTAAAGGCATTTCAACCATTTGAAATATCACTCCTATCCAGTGCAATTAGTGGATTGTACGGAACCCTCAATGTACGGCATGGCATTTAAAGTTTTATTATTAATTATTATTATTATTATTCTTTGTAATGAATTATTATTATTTCTAATAACTATTATTATTATTATTATTGTGATTCTTACACCAACAGTATCTGTTATCAGTATTTCAGCATAAAAGATTTCTGTAACATGTTAGTGTTCAAATAAACAAAGGTACAGCTCTACATTCTTGATTTCAGTTTGCAGGTAAATCATACATTTCTGTCTGAATAATATCACCACACTATGGGCAGAATCTCACACGCAACCTTGAAAACGTTCATGTGAATGAACATCGTTTAGGCTTGACGAGGAGCTTCACGAAGACCGGGACACAGAAAAATCGACTCTGCTCTCATTCTGTGGTTCCAGAGGTCTGACAAGGTGGACGAAAAAAAAGCACTGAAAATAAAAGCCCCTATTTATCACAATCCCCAGGCAGACGCGCAGCCATTCATGCTGCTCTGTCGCAGCAACTGCACGATAGCGGCGGAGACGATGGGGAGCAGGAGGGGGACGAAGAGGAGAAGCACGCAACGTGCCAGGAGGAAGCTGGAGCCACCAGCTTCACGGTGAGCTCCAGGTGGCCCGTTCAGGTGAAGGGTCCGCAGAGTGATGGTGCTTTGGGGGTCAGGCCATCAGAAGAACCAGTGCAATAATGAAAGGACAGAAGTGCCCCAACTCTGTAGTCTAAATCTGTCCTAGCAGAAGCTTCTTGGAAGGGCGGTGAGATGTTTTCCAGGCTTAAAATTCCATAACAAAGCAGAAGTTTGCTATGTCAGTAAGCACAGGGCATGAGGATGCCAGCCCACCAAAGGAATTATACATTAAACAGTTTATTGGCTTCTATCTTCCTCCCCTTTTCATCAGACACTATAGGGGTGACATGCTTCAGCCGTTATAGTGACAATGACCAGATAAGACTCCTAAAACACTACGATTAACTAAAAAGAAGGCTGCTGGGCCTGATCCTGAGGCACACGGCTGTCTGTGCATTCGAGGCCGAACAAAAATCCAAAGAGTCTGCAGGCTTCTCTAAGTGGGAACATCTAAACGTTTCAGAAGGTGCATCTGCTAAGGCAATAAGGCAACAGGGTTACAGAGAGAGAAACACAGGAAT